GATATCTCACAATGAGCAATAATGAGCTTAATGTACAAACCGTAAACACGTTTTAAAGAATTTAAAAATAATTTTTAATTCTTCTACTACAGATCAGACCTGCCACTAAATCATGAGTAAATAATGCTAGACAGCAGTAAAATACAACATAAAAAGATCAAATACTGATTTGCCAAAAAAAAGAAAATGTACTAACTGTCATTTGTAAAATTTTAGAGACCTAAAAACAAATATTGCAGATGATGCAGGTTCTCAGAGTCGATCAATTGAATAAAGTTCCCTTTTAAATCTTAGATTTAATTGACTATCATGAAGCATCAAATATAAATATACATGTCTGGTAGAGGGAGTGGTTTGGAGTGATGTGGATCAATGTTGTGATCTAGCACCAGCTTAAGTATGAGATGAGCTGCTTTTAAAGAATTTACAGAAAAAAACAAACTAAACCGTCACTTTCCTCAGACGGCTGCTATTAATCACAGCTCCAATGTGTCTATAACACAAAAATTGAAGCCAGTTTGAGCTGGGTGACTCATTTTCATCACGAGTGGCATTTAGCAGTCATTACTGCTAGTGCACAGAAAGAGAGGAGATAGGCAGTTAAATAAAGAGCAGAAAAAAAAAAGAGTAAAAGCCAAACAGAGCTGTAGTAATGAGAAATCTAAAACCGAGCTGTTGCTCCTGTTGACCCCTCAAATGTCATTCTTCAATCAAACTGCTCTGTTTCTATGGAAACACTCACCCATGAACTGGCACGGCGTTATTACTTGAGCTGAAAAGAGATGAGAGCGATGTCAGTCAGGAGAAAGGACCAGTCACACACATTCACCCACAGCACACCTGCTTCAAATACAAATTTCTGTTCAGGTCCTCTCTACTGGTTCTTTAGCTGGCAAAGATGAAAGAATCAAACTTCTGTTCTTAAATCATGACTGTGCAAGACAATCAATTTCACGGATATATTCCTTTTTAATCAGTATATGATGTTAGTGAGTGAGAAACGTAAAGAAGAGATGCAAATGTACCTGTGAACAGGGCCGTACAGCATCAGCAGAAGAGCAAGTCCAGTAATGGTGGCGAAAACGGATCTCATCCAAAAACTCAGCTGGCAGAAATTACAGTACTGTATTATGGCCAAGATGGTGGCGCAGCACAGGAACATGGTCACCTGGAGAGGGGCAACAACACCATCAATTTAAACTTAGGTTTACTTTAGGTTTTCCCTAAAAGCAGTTTTCCTAAATGTGATTAAAATCAATCTGCAAACCTGTAATCATGTGTAACCCTCTCTTTGTAAGTTTCATGACATAAAATGTGTTGACCAATAAATGCGTAGAGCTGTGACGATCGTGGCTGAGGTAGTGAAAGAAGCCGGCTGCTCACAAAGGCAAGGCAAATTTATTTGTATAGCACAATTCAGTACAAAGACAATGAAAAGTGCTTTACATGATTAAAATATAGGAAAATAAACAGAATCAAAGCAAGTAGGAAAAATTAAATTCAATAAAAGAAAAAAAAAAATGCACTGGAGGTAAGGCCCATCAAAGAGGAAGAAGTCCGTTCCATATGAACCATGAACCTAAACTAAACAAAGCTCTTAGTCACATAAAATATATGTGGGCAGAGCTAAAAATGGGTGAGCAAAAGAACCTGAACCAGCAGGAATTGGCCAAAATTCCACTAAATTATTAAGAGAAGCTTCTGGAAAGATACCAGAGATTATTGACCCAAATCAGAGTAGAAATAAAATCATATCAATGCTAAACAGATATATGTGAATAGCTGAATGTAAATAAATGAACAAAAATTCACTATTTTATTATTCTGATATTTAGCAACGGAGAAAACAGACAGGAGAAATTTGTCAGATTTGAAGAACATTGTTTCAATTGTTCCTTTAAAACTGTGGTTCAGAGACCTTTCTTATTGGGGCCCCCTTAAATCAAACTGAAACACAAGTAACTAAAAAATCTCCTTTAAAAATTTATATTTTAAGTTTAACACTTTATTTTGCCATGCAACAGATTTCAACATTGCCATTGATATTTTTTTCTCTCAAAAGTATTCAAAATGTGTCATTGCCCCTATGGGTAATACACCCCACGTTCGGAACCATTGCTTTAAAATGAGTCTGACGTCTGAAAGCAATTTAGGTGTCGATTTAGTGGTTCCGTGTCTTTAAATATTCAATTTATATCAAAGATTAGATTTATTTTGGTTTGAATACAAGTTAAAAAGCCGGCCGGCACAATTATTGTCTTTTAAAATGAAAATTCACAATATAATTCAACCTTGACAATAATAGTTTTGCAAAATATTAACAGTCATGTTGCTAATTATCATAGTGCTGCAGGTTCTGTGGTAAATAAGAGAACATTATGTAAAAATGTTACACCCTGAACTAGGGCTTGATAATTAATTGCATTTGTAATGTAGTCGTTATTTAACAAAATTCAATTTTCAAACCGCAGAGGCACTCAATTTACATCACATTACATTTAACAAAAGTAAGTAAACATTTTACTCTAGCCCTTTATGTGGCAGTAATATGCATAAAGGGAGATTGCAACCATGCAGGCAGGAAGAGAGAATTGTGGCACTTTAGCACTTGAATACAACGGTTAATGTTGACTCCTGCAGTGATGGACTCCAGAAAAGCACGCCCTTTAAGGCCATGCAAAACCTAATCTCTGGAGTGAAACATCTGCAAACTTGTGGTTAATGCAAAGGAAAATCTAAATAAAATGGCAATCACAATGTTTGTTCAAAATCACAATTTCACTCATATTTCAAGTTAAAGTATTTTTTTTGTGTTTGTCTTTCATTCAAGTCCTATTTTCCTATCAGAGGTAAATTAATGTCAGGGGTGCTATAGAAATGATGGAATCTCCTTTGGTTTGATTACCCATCATTCCTGGAAATTTGGGGCAATGGCAAATGAATAATAAATAGAGGTCTGACTCCTTCTCTTACTTTGGCATCTCTTAAAATTACAATTTTGTCATTTTGTTTTGGGAAAAAAGGGAAAAGCTTAAAAAGGGAGACAATCAAAAACAACAGCACTAACAACTTAGGGTGCAGTTTTTGTGTTTCAATTTGGGTCAGGTACAGGCACACATAGAAAGAAATCTGGGATATTGTGGAGAGAAGAAGCCATTGATGCAATGATGGAGACATACTGATTTATAGATTATGACTGTCAGAAAAGAACAAAACTGTGGTCCGCACCACTTTGCACTACTTCTAAATGATCAACAGAATCTTAGTAGATCATCTGCATTAATTGCATCTGCAATTTCATCGTCTGTAAAAGCAATTTAAAGCAACCTCTTTAGCACCTCAGTAGATCAAGCCTTTAGTTTATATTGTATTCATTCAATAAAGTGCCTTCAAAAGGAGCAATGTTTATTAAACACTTTTCTCTTTTCCATCAATCCATCTTCTTCCACGTATTCGGGATCAGGTCGCAGCGGTAGCAGCTTCAGTAGGGAGGCCTAGAAGTCCCTCCCCCCAGCCACTTGGGCCAGCTTCTGCGCTCTCAGGACAGGCGAGAAACATACAAACATAGTCCCTCCAGGATATAATTGTCCAAGGTTTTGGCTCAACGACCAACCGCGCCACCTTCCGCTTTGACTGCCGATACAAATCAGCTGTTTCTGGAGTCGCACAGGTCAATAAAGCCTGACAGGACTCCTTCTTCAGCTTGACAGCTTCACTCACCACTGGTGTCCACCAGCGTGTTTGAGGGTCGCAACATACACGGACAACCTTGCAGCCACAGCATCGGAGCCAACTCACCACCAGGTAGTGGTCAGTGGAGAGCTCCGCCCCTCTCTTCACCAGAGTTTCCAAGATATGCAGCTGCAGGTTGGATAAAACAACAACAAAGTTGATCATCAAACTACGGCCTAGGCCCTAGGCCGACTCCCTAGGTCCTAGGGTGTCCTGGTGCCAAGAACACATATGGACACCCTTATGCTTGATCAGGGTGTTTCATATGGACTATCGGTCCATAAGCATGACCAAAGAAGTCCAACAACAGAACACCAGTAGAGTTCAGGTCAGGTGGGCCATTCTTCCCAGCCACGCCTCCCCAGGTCTCGCTGTCATTGCCCATTGAAGCTTTGAAGTCCCCTAGAAGAACAGCGGGATTCCCTGTAGGGGCACTTTCCAGCACCCTTCCTAAGGACTCCAAAAAGGGTGGGTAATCTGAACTGCTGTTTGGCACATATGCACAAACAACAGTCAGAACCCTTCCCCCCAACACGTATGCGCATGGAGGCCACCCTCTCATTCACCGGGGTGAACCCCAACATACATTCACCCACTCATGCTCGGCGCTGCAGAGCTATTCATTGGCTATTAATGGTTAAATTGAATCATTTAGCTATTTCTGCTTACTTTCTGTCTTTCTATTTATTGACCCTCACACTTTATATTTGCACATGTATTTTTAATCTTTAGATGTGATTTGGGTCTTAAACAATTCAAAGATATGAAAGCCATTTGTTTTCATGAAATATTTCTCCCAAAGGACGTTACTTAAAGGGGATGAGAGAGCTTGATGAAACACAATAAGTAGGAGTAATGAAGAGTGAAACTGAGCAAAAAAACTTATCAAAACAGCACACATCTGCCAACCAGCTGTTGACTTGTTTCTGCATGTCAGAAATTTGAGTCCTAGACTCTGAAGTAAAAACAAACAAAAACAAGTAAACCATCTTTATTTCCAGTCCTCTCTTATGCAAGACCCAGAACAATTAAGGATTTTTTTAATCTTTCTGTAGCAATTGTATAGAAACAGCATTGTCCCAATGCTAACCTATGCTACAGGTGCTTTACATTTAGCAGGACACAACTTCAAACTTTGTAAAGCTCTTAATCATCTTTAGCTTAGCATCTGTCTGCAGACGGCGGTGACAGTACAACATGTGCATATTGGAGTTTGCTTGGAATTAGTTGTCATTTGAAATGTACAAACTATGTTTTTCCAGTTTGTCTATGGTTAATTCTACTTTTATGTGCAAAGAAAATCGATTTGCATCATTTGACTGCCACTCATTAAACATTACAAATTAGGAAAAAAGAGAAACTACTTTTAAAATCTAGATAGATACACTGTAGTAAAACGAAACAGAACCAAACAACCAATCGAGATCAAAATACACAGCATACAACATCTTTACACAGCATGGTTTCACTTTACGAAGCGTAACAATAGCAGCAGGCACAATAGAGGCTATAGTTCTTGGTATACACTGTAGGCACTATAATGAGCTCAGAGAAGGAGGTAGAAATCTTTAAGGACAGGATGCTATAAACATTACGTGATAGGGTGGCCTTTCTTAGAACCTGTTTTCAAAAAAGCCCCTTTTTCTTTCAGAAGCCAGGGCTGTGTTTCAGTGCAAATTGTCTTAACTATGAATTGTATTCTTACGACCGAGGGGATTTACCTGGAGAGGAAGGTGGGCACTGACGTGGGACAAGACGGAGACGGCAGGGAGGGAGACCAACACGGCCCCGATCAGGTGACGGGACACCCAGCCAGAGACCAGTAAGGCCAGGGAGCGAGTGGACCTCTTCAGCTCTTTCAGGTAGAAGGTCATTCTGCAAAAACAGTTGATGTACAAATCGAGGATTTAATAAAGGTGATTGAAAAAAAAAAGTTTAAATTATAACAACTGTAAAAATGTTGAGGTTTTCTTCTAATCTCAGTATTTATATTGGTATTTAGCGAAAGCAGCAACAGCTGACCCTCACTACACACACTAGGACAACAGTCCTGCTGTCTCACCAAGGGAAAACAGTTTATATAAAAATAGGAATGAGGGAAAACCGATTTCTCATAAATCAAAAGCAGTTTTAATAACCATATAATAATTTTTTGTTATTGGAAAATTCCACCAAAATTTATTTCAACCGTTGCGTATATTAGCTTCGACATATGAATCAAGATGCTGTAACTGAAAAAATCTGATTTACAGATAACCGTTGATATATGATCGGCCAAATTTAGGTGTACAAGCTGACGTATAACTAACAGGCCCGCATAAGATAATGAAAAAAAAAAAAAAAACACAGATTTTAAGACAGGATTTAGAAATCTCCTAAATTTTTGAACAATATGGTCTGATAAAGAGTACATTTATATATATGTTTAAGCCAGAATGATTTGAAATTAAAATATGACTCCCCTACGACTTTAAAATGCTTCAAGACGAAACTCTGCTGGTGGCAGCAAGGAAAGCCATCATCAGGAACATGGAAAAGGAAACAATACCCACAGAATGGACTAAAACTGTAGAAGAAATTTTCCTGCCCGAAAAATGTACACATAACAAGACGAAAAAATAAGTAAATGGAAAATATGGACAATCTAAGAGATTCTAGGAAAAAATAACTAGAAAGAACAATTAGTTAATATGTTGATAACAGTGCTACAGATGCATTGAGCTTGACCTGGGCAGCTATTTGTTTAGATTATTTTGTGGCTGTTGTTTAAAAAAAAAAAAAAAGATTTAGGTGGGAAATAAAATGCTTGGAACAGGGGGTGCTTGAATTATTAATGATGTCAAGTTTATGAGCAGTCTGACCCCCATAAAACCACATCCACACCATCTGCTTAAACTGGCCTCACCGTACGGAGAACAGCAGCGAGGCCAGCTCCAACAAACCAGCCAGAGGCGCCAGGATCAGGGCAGCGAGCGCCGGGGGGCCCACCGTAGACTGGCTGACCAGAAACGGAAGGAAACAAGCCACGGTCAAGGCCAGGAAGACAAAGCAGCTGAGGAGAACATCCAGGAAGGAACTGAATGTGGGGCTGGCAAACGTCTGCACTGGAACCCGGTTCTTCACCTGGAGAGGAGATGAGACAGATTACATTTCCCCCTGAGATGAAGAGAAGCAGGGATTTTACCCCAATTTTTCTGTGTTAGGAAAGATGTCATCACATTTAAAAAAGTTTAAGAGGCCACACAATACATAAACAACATTTTAAAAATCGGCTATGAAATGAATGGGAAGGTGATAAGGAGATTATGTTGGTGAATTCTTGCATTTTGAGGCTGTAGTAACACTTATGTAACAGCAGAGGGCTGAAGACCTCCAGGGTCAGCAGAGGCCGCCTGGAAGAGCTCTTTACAGAAAGGGTGTCATGAAGTCATGACTTATTACAAAGAAACCGTTTAAATGTTTATTCCCTTTTCTATTATTGAAACATTCAAGTATCCGCAAAACAAGAGAAAAAACATTTAAAAGGAAAAAGGAAAGGTCCTGACAGGGACAAAAAAAGCAGAGAAAGTGCTTGATTTAAGGTGGTGGGGGTACATTTTTCTTTTTACCTCTACTTTGTAGCTGCTGCGATACGCCTTCTCCAGTGGTCTCTCCAGAAAGTTCAAGCTGATCTTATTGATGGGTGGCTTGAAAAAGTAGTCCTTCATCAGGCTGGAAAGAAGTAAAATAAAGCAAATAAAGAGGTTTAAGGGGTAATAAAGGTTGGAGATGTTCATTGGTACAATAAATCTAGAGTAATTTGGCTCAATAATCCTATTTGTTTGAACCACGCTAGGAGCAAAAACACATTTGCAGAACCCCCCCCCATGACAAATAATTTACACAGTAGATTAAGATCCGAGACGCTTGCCCTTAAGGTTATTATCCCACACCGTTCTGTGTAAAGTCAAATTACAACCAAAGGCTTTTATCTTCTTGTGTTATGTTATGTAAATAAATTTGGGTATCTTTTGTTTTGTGTGTGAAAATAAGAAAAAAAAAAAAACTCATTAGACATCCGTGAATGAAAAAATAAATCAAATGCAACTTGTTTTTCTTTTAGTATTATCATTATTATTAGAAAATAAATTCTATACAAAAATCTGAGTTTAATTGAGAAATGTTTTACCATCAAATCCAAATAAGCGAAAATAAAAAGCAACAACAAGGAGTTTGCAGCTATTGGAGTATTGCAGCGAAGGGAGGTTTAAAGTTGTGTCAGTAAGATGAGAAAATATGAAAAAGTTAAAGGAAGTTGCTATATGACTTTTTTTTTTTTTTACTGCTCGTCAGTTTGAAGGTTTATAACTACCGGACCAGTTTATGAAAACCCTTATGATAGAATAGATTGCTTTATTACAAATAACAGTGTAATAAGGTCATAAACTCCACATTAAACCCTCCGGCTCACCTGTCCTCCTTGATAACCTCCACGAAGTGGGCGTCGCTCTTCTGTTTAAAGTTCTTGGCACGCAGCCGGATGAGGGCAGAGTGATCCATGCCCGTACCTGCCGCCGCCACCGAAGCAGCCATGCCGATGCTGGTGCCAGTCCCTGTGCTGGTGCTGGTCTTGTTTTCTTTCTGGGGGATGTCACACAGGGAACTCTGGCTGGCACGCACGGCGTCCTCCAGTGGGGGGCTCAGGAGACCGTTGACTGCAGCTCTGTGGCCTGGGAGGAACTTTGGGAGAAAGAAAAAAAAAATAAAAAAAAGAAGTGGGAGGATTGCCGGGATTGGATGTTGAGTAGATTAAGTGGGAAATGCTTGGAGAAGGAGGCGATAAGAGTGGTGTTAATGTGGGATGTACCTTGGCAGAGCTTAGCTTGTGTTCCTCCTGGCAGCCGTTCAAAACAGCCACATCGTCGCCCTGCTCGGCCATGGATGGTCGCGCAGCGCCATGGAAAACACAGGGAGGCTGGAGAGAGGGAGAGAGAGTGGAGTTTCACCAGCTGTAACACACACATATAAGCCTGAGCACCAGAAGTACATATTTACAACTCACTGATATCTATGTACACTTTTGTAAAAATCAAGGCCGTCCAAGGTTTTGTCCAAACAGACAAGCAAAAAGACACAAATAACAGTGAATCATAACCTTGGATGACAACATATCTCCAGCAGTTACCTGCAAAAAAAAATGATCTAATGCGTTTTTCTTTTGTGATAAATTTAAGAAAACTTGTCTCTCTTCTTTTCTCACCCAAACTTCAATGACAGACTGCTGCACCCTAAATGCACCAGGGAGCGTTGTAACAGATCCTTCCTCCCAGCAGCTGTAAGACCTTATAACCATCACTGTTCCCAACAACCTCAATAAGTTGTTACATTCATGCTGATTTTTGCACCGTTTCTGTCTTAGTTAAGTAACTGTTGCTGCTGTTGTTTTTTGCACATCTCTGTTGTCGCTCTGTGTCAGAGTATTATATTGTACTTTACAGTACAATACTTTATTTGTTTTATTTTCTTGTCTTTTATTTTTATACTCTTGCTAAGGTGCACATTGTGTGATCACTTCTACTATAACCTTTTGCTGCTGTAAACACCACAATTTCCGCATTATGGGACAATAAAGGGATTTTCAATTTTATTCTATAGATTTTAAATATAGATGAGTGAGGAAATGAACCCCCACCCCTGACACTGATGCTGCACACTGTCTATCAGCTGTCTTAAAGAAAGACTTTTTATATTTGTTTGTTTCCATGTTCATGGGAAAGACCAAGACAACTGTAGAAACCACTCAAGTTTTCCTTATAACGGAGGCTTACAAAATTATGGCTATAGTAATCCTACAATACAATACATTTTATTGTCATATGTTTACTACAATGAAAAAAAAATCTTAGAAAAAAACCCCCCAAAAAATCAGAGAATGTTGTGTATTTAGTGGATTTTCTGTAGCTGTAAACATCAGGGATGGGAGTTTTTTTTCTGATGACATAAAGCAGAGGACTCCTCCTGTTGCTGAGCACTGCTGGTCAGCTGGTTAAAAAAATAAGTAAAATAAAATAAAGACTAGTAAGCAATATTTAGCAAAAAAATAAAAATAAAAAAAAAGGATGCAAACCAAGATATGGTGGTTTTAAAACCAGGGTTTGTAGACCGATTTGAAGAACTACAGTTGATATATATTAAACACCTTTATAATACTTGCAGGAATCAACATATTTAGCAGCAGTAGTAATTTTTCTAGCTCTGTTGATTAAATATGCTTGATTAGATCATATAAAACATTTTTATTATAATTTTTTGGTGTAAATACAAAAAAAACTCTTGTACTTGTACCTGTAGCTGTCATAAAGCCAGCTCCCCATGTTTCTAACTGAATAGCAAAGATCTGCTTGGAATGCTACATTTATTGGCTTTTATATTTTGTGTCACAAATTCATTTTTTGGATGCCATTATTAATAGTCATTCTATAAAATGGAGGCTCACTGTTGTAGAATCCAGACCTGACACAGATGAGGTTTAAAATTCATGAAAGTCCCAAATATTGCGTTGATGCGAATGGAAAAAATATTCTCACCACAGTTTTGTCCGATGGTTTTTGAGGCAGCAGGGATTCAGTAGCCTGCGCCGCTCCGTGGATGAGGTCAGGTGTACGAGGCTGAGGGCAGGAGGGAACATTGACCCCTACGAATTCCCCACCCTGAGAGCAGGCACACGGGACATCATGATCCAGCTTCCGTCCTGAGATCAGGTAGGTTTTCATTCCTGGGGAAAAGGAAAGCCGACAAAATTTCCTGTTTAGTAGTCCATAAATACTTCATTTCATTTTTTAGTATTTCCCCATAAGATAAAATAAAAAAAAAACATTCAAGATTCAGCATCATTCAAAAATAAAACGGATATGCATTCAAATAAATCCTACTCAGAAAGGGGCTAGGGGTGTCCTGATCTGATATCAATATTGGCTAAATAACTGATATCGGATTTAATCGGCCAGCATCTCAAACCTCTGGAAGTTTTTTTTTTCCCCCTGCAATTTATTCTCATTTCACTGTCACAAGTACAGAGCAACAAAATGAGCTCTCTGCATCTAACCCATCCCCTTGGGGAGCAGTGGGAGTGAGGCTCAAACTCAGAACCTCAGGATTCCAAGCAAAATGCCCTACCCAATAGGCCACCACTCCCCAAAGAGTCTACTGTCGCCAGAGGTGGAAAAGTAACGAAATACATTTACTCAAGTTACTGTATTGAGTAGGTTTTTTTGTGTATTTTGTATTTTTCAAGTAGTTTTTAAAATCGGTAATTTAAATTTTACTTGATTACGTTTTGAGTGAAGTATTGTATTTCGTTACATTACAAATCCCATCCGTTACTGAGTAAAAAAAAAAGGAAGACAAAAAATCGGGCCGGAAGCACTACAGTGAGCACGATGGTTCAGAGAACGTTTCACAAGAAATGCTAGCTGAAACATCGAATTCTGCTGCCCAAAACGACGAAAATCCTTGGCCACATTTGAAAGACTGCTTTTCATTTAAATTCAAGAGGGCCAACAGTATCATCATGCAATGCCAGATGTGTCTGCCAAAGGTGACTGAACTGACAGCATTCAATAACTCCACATCTAATCTGCGGAAGCATGTTTTGGTAAGTATTTAGTGCATATACATTTGTATAGATTTTTCTTTAATTAAACACTAAATAGTTTTGGATTTATGACTCCTTGTCCTATTTTCACTACATGGGAGAGATCCCCTGCCCCGTTCAACATTTTTTAATTTTTTAAATGTAACTAAGTAACTTTTACTTAAAATACATTTAAATTAGCTACTTATTACTTTTACTTGATTAATTTTTCTGATGGGTAATTTTACTTGTACTTGAGTAATATTTCATCCAAGTATTGGTACTTTTACTTGAGTATGATATTTTAGTACTTTTTCCACCTCTGTCACTAATAGAAACTCTGCTTATGTTAAATGTTTCTGTAACTCATTAGTTCATTTTTACATGGGTCAGTTGTTTTCAATTTTATTTTTGATGACTTTTGTTCCCTGTTTTCGTAACACTATTTCATAAATCCTTTTCTATCAATCTACTGTAAAAAAATAAGTATAAAAGCTGGTATGATTCATCCTGATATATCAGGACAATACGTCATCGGTCAATTCCCCAAGCTGTAATAATGGTATAATATCGAACCCTCATACTTCAGACATTAAGCTGATGTTACACATAAATTGTTGGTCTTTAAATAAAATAAGAAAAGAACTTCTCTCTGTAACTCACATGATGTGACGTCCCCTTTGGTCAAAATCTAATTGATTCATATTAAAACTTGGTTCATACGGCCCAAAAATATGCGGTTGGGCTGTGTTTGAATTTCCGCAGAAGAATTTGTAACTACGTGGACGGATCCATGGGGACACAGGGTGAGCGGGCAGCAAATGAAAACATCTAGAGACATCCAGTGATTTAGTTCAGAAATATTTCCATAAACCGGATTCTTAAGATTTGTAGGTAAATATGATAAATAAGATGAATGATTTATTCAACAAGCAGGCAAAACAGCGACCCTATCAAATACTAAGATTGATAAAACTGAAATATCTAGGGTGGCGTATCTACTACAATTTGGAAAGGAATCCAAGAAAGAATCACATCTCTTTTATAAAAGCATACCGGTATGTCTTCTTGGTGGGGTTTCCTTTTAACAGGATTCACATGTCTGTTCTACAACATTTTACAAACAATTTTATATTTATGGTAAGAACGATTTTCCAATGATGCTGCACTTGGTGCCATCTCTTTTTTTTTAAACAGTGAGTGTTGTTATCTTTCTTTTTTTTTTATCCAGGAAGTAGTTGATATAGATTTTTTATAATGGGAAATTCTCCACAAAATCTCTCTAGTTAATGGCTGGCAAGCTTGCTCGGTTAATTTGTTACTCTAAACTCAAAAGAAGGCGAGAGATTAAAGTCTAATCCAAATGTGCTAAAAAGATAAGTCAATAAATAACTCACAAGTGTACTTTTATGAGTGGACATACTTCACCAGCTCCCATTTACTGCTGTTATTTTATTGAGCCATAATGATCAATGATTTACACTCAGTGACAAAAAGATTACAGTAGGGTCCAAACTAAAATCGAATCTAACCATTGACTTATGGCTCCTTTAAAGGCCTTTAACACTATGGTCAGCCTGTTTCTCTTTTCATCTTAATAGTTTTGACCTTACCAAAATTGCACAAATATTCACTAAACAAAAGAAACAACATAGAGGCTGTTTGTTATATCAGTGATTAAAGTTTATATGTAGGACAGCAGTGCAGAAGTGAAAATGCAGCACTGTCCCACTCATGAGTGTACCAACTTCTGCTCAAATTGGACAAATTAAGTGCAAATTTTTGTACATTGTAGCAAAAAATAAGAGAAAAAAAAGGTGCTATAACCATTTTAATTATACCTAATTTTTTTTTGTTTTTTAATAAGTCTACCAGGTCTCAGCTTTGAATCATTCTGGTGTGTTTTTTATGTAAGAATTTTAACTCACTTGCTTTATATCACCAGGCTTGTCACATTTGCAGTTCTCTAAAAAAAACACCCAGAAAAAGAAAGAAAAAAAAAAAGAGAAAAGCACTCTGAGCGCTCAGGCCTTTTGCCCCTCATTTTTGATTTCCACCTACGGCTAAAACTCACACAATACCTTGATCATTACTGAACTTTAATTAATTGCTCCTTGGCATGAGGCACACCTCTGATAATATCCTTAAAATCCTTTTATAACTTTCTAAATAAGGCATTAAGGCACAGCGTGTGTCTGCAGCCTCTGGTGTCTGTTCTGCTCTCACCTTCATTCACTCTGCTTTCTACTTTGATCAGCAATCCGACACTCCTGTGTTTTGTATTCATTATAATACTTCTGGACTTTTTTGAGCGTTGAAGCTATCAATAGTCACTGTGCTGCCACTCTCTGGTTTAGGGGGGAACTGCTTGTTCCGCAAAATCTTTTAAAAAAATTCCTGCAACTGGATTCTTATGCGGATCATCACCAAACTTTAATGGATTGTTCCTTTGACTGAGGTGCACCTTTGCTAAAAGATTCGTTACAATCCGTTGATAATTTTTCAAATGAACAAAACAGACAAACTGTTTACAAACAAACAGACACAAACTTAACTCAAAACATAACATTTTGACACAGTCAGACTAAGCTTTCACCATGACTATATGCGTGCATATTCTCTGCAGGTCCTTTGGTTTCATATTCTTCTAATTTCCCATGAAGGCTTTGTTGTTTATCCACCGGCAACCTGTCCAGGGTGTTTCCCAATTACCAATGGAAAAAAAAGGCACTAGCCTTTACTTTAATCAGCAAGCCATGGTGATGCAGACGCATGCTGACAAGAAGACAGTAATGCAACACTGGGTGTTTCACCAACACTGTTTGCATATCAGCCCAAAGCTTTGGCCTGTTCACACTAGTGGAGAGCCAACAAGGAAATACACAAACAGAGGATTAGAGAGGTGGCACTAAGCCAGCTGCTATCAGCCTGTCCAAACACACAGTAACCCGGCTAGCTGGCCTCGGCTAACATATCTGTCCCTGACAGCTTAGAGACAACCGGAGGAGCATCAGGAAAATATAGTGCAACCTTGATCAAAAATGTGAAAGGACAACCCATCTAAAAAGGCTTATTCATTCATCCAGTCTCCCCTAAGATGAGATTGTTAAAAAGAAAATGAAAATAAATGCAATTTGATTCAACAAGGTAACATTTTTATCACTTTTACTTTTAATTATTACCCCTAGCTTAGATAGCTTGAGTTTTCTTTACAAAATATTTAAAAACATAATTAAAGGGAAACTATGTTATTGGTGACACAATCATGGGTAAGACTGCTTATTTGACTGCAGTTTCGCTCACTGATATACTCCACATGGAGGGTAAATGTGGAGGTGGTAGAAAAACGAATATACATGCAGGACAGTGAATGGATATTTAGGAGTTGTATAGGTTTTTAAAATAGTAGGAAATTCCTTATATTCTGAAGTGTTGAGCCGAAGTCTCTTATTTAGCAGGATTATTATACAGAGTTATAACACAGGGTATAAACATGGGGATTTATATAGATGGATATTTATATATATAGCTATTGCACTGGGTATTAAATATAAAAAACTGGTTATTTCACAGTGTATTAAATAGTAATTGCATATTAGATATTGCACAAGTTATCGTCGTAGTGTTGCTTTGTGGAGTCTGATGGCAGCAGGGATGAATGACCTGCAGTAGCGCTCCTTTTTTTATTTGTGAATATTTTTATAATAATTTCATTTATAAATAGATGCCAAGTGACAAACAGCACTGCAACATAAAAGCAAAACCCTTTAGGGTTAGGATTGTTGTTCTGTTGCCCAAGAACAGCAAGAAAGCCACAGCAGCTCCAGGCATGCAGACACCAGGCAACTCCACAGAGCAGCCGAAAGCTCGATATGGAGGCGTTTGGGCTGAAACACAGGATTAGCAACTCCCAGCTATCATAAGCTATCAGACGGCCTAAAGGGAGGTCAAGGCAGCAGGCCCCCCAACAGAACAGGGAAGGGAGGAAGGAAGAGCAGGAACTCAACATAGTCCGACCCCAGGCAAACACCACTGACTGAATGAAATGACAAAATCTTTCTTTGCAAGATTTTGCCAGATTCTGCTGATTGTTTGGAGTTTATTTCTAAACAAGAGAATATTTCAAAATGCGGTAATGTTAA